CACTGTGCTCTTAGGAACCTTAAGTGCAGCAGAAATTTTTTTTTTGTAACCTTGGCCAGATCTGTGCCTTGCCACAATTCTGTCTCTGAGCTCTTCAGGCAGTTCCTTTGACCTCATGATTCTCATTTGCTCTGACATGCACTGTGAGCTGTAGGGTCTTATGTAGACAGGTGTGTGGCTTTCCTAATCACGTCCAATCAGTATAATCAAACACCGCTGGACTCAAATGAAGGTGTAGAACCATCTCAGGGATGATCAGAAAAAATGGGCAGCACCTAAGTTAAATATATGAGTGTCACAGCAAAGGGTCTGAATACTTATGACCATGTGATATTTCAGTTTTTCTTTTTTAATAAATCTGCAAAAATGTCAAAAATTCTGTGTTTTTCTGTCAATATGGGGTGCTGTGTGTACATTAATGAGGAAAAAAATGAACTTTAATGATTTTAGCATATGGCTGCAATATAAAGAGGGAAAAATTTAAGGGGGTCTGAATACTTTCCGTACCCACTGTAAACTGGCTCTAAGGATATAGATTTGGTGTCCAGATATTTACCTGAAATGGGTTGAAATCGAGTGCTCGAACGGGCCCTGTATGTTTGTTAGACTGTCCCACTACTGCTTCCACTCCAGAGCTCATTATGGCCTCCGGACTATAAACAGTCACGGTGCCATTTTCACTGCCACCAACCAGTCTCCCTCCAGTACCATCTGCTCCCATTCCAAAATTCACCCACACGATACTGTGCAACCTATGGAATATGAAAGGTATAGCAAATTATTTCTACCTAATGACTGACTCATGGTGTTTAAAACTTGCTGTATCACTTGTAGTTCAGGACTGCATGCAAAGGCTATACATTCAACTCTCAAACTACTTGCATGTGAGGTCAAAAAAACCTAGACTAGATATGCCTTTGCAAAGTGAGTAAGGATAAAGATTTGTGGCTAATGTGTCAAGATTAGAGCTGCAACAATTAATTGACGATCACTGTATAATTATGTGGCAACTATTTATTCATTCATAAAACTAAAGTGTCAAATGTTTGCTGGTTCCAGCAATGATTTGCTGTATATGATAGTAAACTCATAATTTTGGGGTTCTAAACTGTTATGATAAAAATATTTATACAAGATATATTTAAATTCAAATTTTTAAATAAGTGATTAACTTCTGGGTGAATGATGAGGCAGGCCACTTTTCTACAGTGGCTGATTTGGACAGTGGTGCAAGAACTGTGGTTTAAAATCTTGCCAACAAAATGTATGTTATTATTGTGCAGCTACTATAGATTTTACCTGTTTGAGGTGGGTAATGAGCCTTTGAGCTGCATATCCTGAGAGCAGTCCGAAAAATCCATCTCGAATATTTCTAGGGCAGCCGTAGTATTGAAAGAGGCATCAAGCTGTTGTGCTGATGTTCCCAAGGCCAGATAGATAGGATGGTGTCCAGCCGGACTCCACGCCTGGTGGGCTGTTCTCTGAATCTCTTTCAGCTTCATTTTCCTTAAGGTTAATGTTCCGGACGCACAATTGGACTCTAAATCAAGAAAAATACATTTGTTCACGATGCAATTGCTGCTAATTAACAATTTGCTAAGTACCTTTAAATGAAGGAAGACAAAATGTGACTACCAACCCAAATACTCCTACTTTCTAACTTGATTGTAATAGGGTGCCACCCTTACTGACAGATGGTCTCCGACTATTTCCTGCACCTGCAATAACTTACCAAGCGGTTTACTGCTACTGGACGCTTCCGCCCGTGTTGCAAAGTGTGTATATACCAGGATTTTGTGTTGAATACACAGTAGTGACTATAATGTAGTTACCGGCGATATCATCTACATTATAGGCACTTAAAAACTAATTTAAGGTAACGTGATATGTAGCTACGATGAGCATTTCGCATGTACGGCTCCAAACAGATCTAACGTCAGTCTACTAAAACATATTAACAGATTAGAGTGGTTGTTGTCTTTATTACCCTGCCCCAACAGTTTTTACGGGATCAAGTAATTTCTCACGCAAACCACCACACACGAGACAAGTGAGCTAACGTCAACTAGTAGGTTCACTTCTTGCCAACAGTGCTTGATTTCAGAGCACAACCGGAGCCGATGTTGCCGCTAGCTAGCAAGCAAGCCACCACCCTTGTTACTATATTTCAATATAAATAGGAAGTACTATGTATCTGAAGTGTTTAAACCCAGTAGAAACATAAATACAATTTTGAGAGTAACTCACGTGAACTGTCTATTATGAACGACTGATTGCCCGCAACAACCAGGAGTGCTACTTATCAGCCAAGCTAGCAGCTTAGCCACAGGGTAATCCGACCAAAGTGCTTTGCCGTGTTGTCACTAGGCTACGGTGGCCGACACGGACATATATCCAAAAATCCAGAAAAGTGTCTCTCTGAGTTTAAATTCTAAATTTGATGTTAATTTTTGAGCCATTACCACCTTTTATGCAATATTACGTTCTTTGGGCACACAAAATAAACTGCCACAAAAACATTAATTTCAAGTGTTAACATAAGTCTTTATTCTTAACAGAAATATATACACAAACACAAGTAGACTAAGATTTTAGTCAGATTTCATAATGTTTGACTTCCTCTGGTTGTTTGTCAGGATCTCCTCCTCTCTCCAAGTACAGATCATTGTAGGGATACTGTTTCGGTGCCTAAAACAGACAAAAAAGCTTTATTGAAAATGTGCACAGCCATGCCGTAGTTACAGGGCACAATAAAAAAAAAAATTCTACAGGACAGTACCAAAATTGAGCGACATAAAAGCAAGATATATTCTCATATATTTTAACAAATCACAGATATTCAGATGTTCTTTTTTTAATAAACTTAAATATCCACAGATGTCCAACTCACTTTATAATCTTATGGTCTGAGCAGAACATTTCATTGGTATGTCTTGTCTGCTGCATTAACAGTCATGTTTCTCTCAAATATGTTGTGGCTAATCAGTTGAAACTGACTAGAAATTGAACAACATAACACCACTGCTAAGGTTCATCATCCATGTGTTATGTAATGAGCTAAATCTCTGCATACCTTTAAAAATGTATACACTTAAACATTTACATAATAGTTATAATTTACAGTATGCTTATCTGTCAGACTAGTCAAGGCAATCTGAGCAACCTTTACTGTGACTAACTGAAAAGTTAAAACTGATGCAGTAGGGGGCTGTCAAGCACATGTTACAATTCACAATGTTAGTTTGCCGATACGCACAGATGGGATAACACACAAATGTAGATAAGTGACAAAGGAGAAGACAAAAAACTAAATCATATGCAGCTAGAGCTCTGAGCTACAGACAGCTATTCTTTGCCTTTAAAATCACTGATTAATTTGATCAGGTCATTTCATGTTCCCCGAAAATGCTGTATAAAACCCAGCAGTGGTCTGTACTTACAACAGGTTGGTAGGACGGGAATTTCTCCCCAAGATAGAACATTAACAGCATGAACCCGATGAAACCAAACAGCTGTTTACTCATTGAGGACCAGGACACAGGGCTGGGAGAGGTATCCACACGGTTCCTAATGTACGCATCAAAATCCCAGTGCATCTAAAAACATACAGAAACCAATCACTGAAATGGTCATGGACAATCTCATACTGTGATAACTTGTTATTTAGTCATCTAACTAAGATGTTAATTACACATCGTTGCAAAAGTAGTGCCTTTGTTCAATCAAGCCGATCTTAACACCATCTACAGTCAGGGAAAAAATTATTTGAACCCCAGCTGATTTTGTAAGTTTGCCCACTAACAAAGAAATGATCCGTCTACAATTTCAATGGTAGGTTTATTTGAACAGTAAGAGACACAACAATAACAAACATCCAGAAAAATGCATTACAAAAAAGGTTATAAAGTAATTTACATTTTCATGAATGAAATAAGTATTTGATCCCCTATCAGTCAGCAAGATCTCTGGCTCCCAGGTGTATTTTATACAGGTAACAAGCTGACATTGGGAGCCCTCTCAGCTCGTTACCTGTATAAACGAGACCTGTCCACAGTCAATCCTGATTCCAAACTCTTCACTATGGCCAAGACCAAAGAGCTTTCCAAGGACGTCAGGGACAAGATTGTGGACCTACACAAGGCTGGAATGGGCTACAAGACCATCGCCAAGCAGCTGGGTGAGAAGGTGACAACAGTTGGTGCGATTATTCGCAAATGGAAGAAACATAAATTAACTGCCAATCTCCCTCGGTCTGGAGCTCCATGCAAGATCTCACCTCGTGGAGTTTCAATGATAATGAGAACGGTGAGGAATCAGCCCAGAACTACTCGGGAGGAACTTGTCAATGATCTCAAGGCAGCTGGGACCATAGTCACCAAAAAAACAGTTGGTAACACACTACGCCGTGAAGGACTGAAATCCTGCTGTGCCCGCAAGGTCCCCCTGCTCAAGAAAGCACATCTACAGGCCCGTTTGAAGTTTGCCACTGAACATCTGACTGAATCAGAGGAAGACTGGGTGAAAGTGTTGTGGTCAGATGAGACCAAAATCGACCTCTTTGGCATCAACTCAATTCGCCGTGTTTGGAGGAGGAGGAATGCTGAACCTCCTTCCCTCAGTCAGGGCATTGAAAATGGGTCGTGGTTGGGTATTCCAGCATGACAATGATCCAAAACACACGGCCAAGGCAACAAAGGATTGGCTCAAGAAGAAGCATATTAAGGTCATGGAGTGGCATAGTCAGTCTCCAGACCTTAATCCCATAGAAAATCTGTGGAAGGAGCTGAAGGGTCGAGTTGCCAAACATCAGCTACAAAACATTAATGACTTGGAGAGGATCTGCAAAGAGGAGTGGGTCAAAATCCCCCCTGAGATGTGAGCCAACCTTGTGGCCAACTACAAGAAACATCTGACCTCTGTGATTGTCAACAAAGGTTTTGCCACCAAGTACTAAAGCACGTTTTGCAAAGGGATCAAATACTTATTTCATTCATGAAAATGCAAATTACTTTATAACTTTTTTTGTAATACATTTTTCTGGATTTTTTTTGTTATTGTTGTCTCTCTCACTGTTCATATAAACCTACCATTGAAATTGTAGACGGATCATTTCTTTGTTAGTGGGCAAACTTACAAAATCAGCTGGGGTTCAAATAATTTTTTCCCTGACTGTATATATCAAAAAGCAAACATGTCAGAAATGTTTCTGTTATCTGTAGAAATGTCAAAATCTCAAGCTACCATGGTGCTTCCAGGTGGCCTAGAAACACTTGTATATGCATATACAGTCGTCAGAGATTATACAACAATATTGCTGTGGTGTCTTTTTTATGCTGTAGAAATATATACTGAATTGTGAAAAAATAAATGTGCATTGCTCTCTAAATATTATAATGGGCATTTAAAAGCAAAATCTAAAGCCAGATGCTGATAGTAATATTATGCTGATATTTGAAAGGCCAATATAATATTTTACACAAACACATAACATTATTCATTGGGATCTAGGTGTTTTTTTAGGAATTGGTACCAAGACATGTATTGCACAGAACACTGTTTATAAATTACAGCAAACATATATTTTACACATGCAATTTGCCAGTACCGACTATACTCGGATCACAAATTAACAGCGAGCAGTGAGCAGTTTCATGTTTCATTAAGAATTGTGGCTCACAAACTGAAAATGAATTTGCAATACCTACTGGGCTAGTGCATGCTCATGCATGGGGTGCAAGTATGGTATTTGTTTTGATGAGTGAAATGTATGAATGGACAATAAGAACATTTTCTTGTGTAAAAATCACACCTTGTGTGTTGCAAATTTGGTGGAACCAGCTCTTATATTGCAAATTCTTGTTGCTTGTCATCTGGTATATACAATACTGATATAACTGTGATAGTCTTATAGCAGCAAATAACAGCAGACCTGACTTAACAGCTGCACATGATGTCAAAACAGTAAATGTTTCAGACAGTGGGAAATAAACTCTTCAGTATCCTACCGGCTCTCCCCAGTTCCTCCTCAGGTCAGGATGGTCCCATTGGTACCATGGGTCTCTCTCACTCTGAGATCTTTCTGGTAGCTTTGGATAATCGCCAAAACTACAAACAAAGAAACATTTTTTTTCTATATGCATTTGGTAAACAATCATAACAAATAGCATTCCAGCATTTCACTAACACCACAGAGGAAACAAGTGCAGCTAATATTTCTATGAATGGAAAACGTTTTCAAAATGAAGCTCACCCCTCGCCTCGGTCGGGATAAGGTTCATAGTCCTCGACCCTTATATTGTACTTCTTTGCAGCTGCAGCTCTCTCCTCTGGAGTCTTCGGGTACGATCCAGGTAGACTGTCCTTTGTCATACCAGAGGCTGAAACACCAGTAATTGCATATGTGAGCAAACCAAGGTCAAGCTATAACGTTGTCAAGCGAATACGAATGAGGCAATAACGTTTATTATCTATTCTAAATAGCGTTAGCCGTTCAGCTAAGCTAACGTTACGATGTCAAGGTTACGTATATTCCAGGCTTCAAACCTTACCATTTTAAACATATCTTCACAGATGTTCATTACATGGTATGACCAAAATCTAATAAACCTCTTACCTGCTCTATTTCCTAACAGAAAGGCTGAAATGCCAGATCTGTTCCCATTAGAGAGTGCTCGGGCCCACCGTCGGAAAACAACCCCAGCCATGTTTACTGGCTGCTCTGGCAGCATAAAAAGTACGCATGCGCTAGAAGTATGGGTCGGCATAAGGACCAGTTCTTAACTCGAAATGTCATACGCGTATAGTATATGAAACAAGGTATGTCTGTAACTAATTTATTACAAACTGATATATTAACTGTTATTATGTTAAATTAAAATGAGCCTATTGCACAATATGACAGTTAAATATATAGTTTCATAAATAAAAAAAACAATTTAAATAGCCTAATCTATTAGTAAGAATAAAAACAGGAGTGGAAAATAACTAAGAAAACTCTAGTACAACTTTAAGGTATGTGTACTGAACCACTGGATTACACTATATCTGTTTATTTAAAACTAGCTCTGCTTCAACAAGCAACAACAGTAAAAGGCTATTCCTACACTGATGCACTAGTATAAACAACAGTGCTATCATATAAGATAATGTATCAGTCACAGAAGGAAAACAAATATACTCTTACTTTTATAGGATACCTGGTGTACATGTTTGTACTTTTACTTAAGTTGTATTTTGAATGAATGATGTTTACTTGCAATTTTTCACTTAGTAGTGACTGATAGGTAACCAATATAACCAGTTAAAATATAGCAATTTCAGGATTGACAATAAAAGCAACAACTACTTAAATATTTGTTTTATTGTGTTTCATTCCTATTTATTTTTGAGTAGACACCATCAAATTGGAGAAAGGTGTGACAGTTGCATGAAAGCTACTTCAGTGGCTGAAAGGAACTTGTTTTTGAGCGAATGCTCTGAAGCTCAGAGACTTGTTCCTATTCCCATCAGATCCAGCTCAGGTGCATGTGTCGCATTTACTGGGGGATCATCATTCTGCCACTGGTGTTAAACTGAGATAAGGCCATCAAAGAAGTTCCACTATGTCCTTCTCTACTTTCTCTATGGGGCTGTGAAGTTCATACCTACAGCAAAGAAAAACACAGACTTAAGTCAAACATAATAAAGGATTTTGTAGATTCTAACTTGAAGTCTAGGATTTATGACTTCACCTTTTGAAAGGTATGCCATTTGCAGTAATAAGAAACTTCTCAAAATTCCACCGAATGTCACTGACTTTGACTGGGGACCAGTAGAATTTGTTAATATCTCCAATAACAGGGTTGACAGATGGCAAAGATTCCTGTGGCAAACAAGAAACGACAGCAATAGTATCCTATAAGACTATTTCAGCCAATAATCTTATATTCAAATCCTATATAAAACAAACTACCTTTAGATAAGTAAAAAGAGGATCTTCGTTTAGTCCGTTCACCTTAACCTTCCCAAAGACTGGAAACTTTGGCACAAAGCCCCCACCAGGTCTCACATGCTTCAGAATACTGAGGGTTTCATGATTCACTTCTGAAAAACATAGACATATGCAGTGTTTTAAACATATGTTCACAATATTGTCTTCAAAATTGTATGAGAAGATTAGAGGACAGATCATACTTTAGTGGAACCAGACACAACTTTGTGTTAAAGGTCACAAGTCACTGGTTTAATCTTTAACAACAAATTAGATTTTTATAATATTGTTAATGTAAAATTGTAATTTGAAAAGTAAAATAAATGAAGTTGAGCAAAACACTGCAATAGGTTGCAATTCCCTGAATGTAGTAGAAGTAATGCACAAGTTAAATACTTTAAAAAAGTACTGAAAAAATATACTTTCCATAACTGATATAAATATATATAAAGTAGAGTATTTCTCTTGACACATCACCTAGGTAATAATATACCACAGCTCAAAAACTTCATTACCTGGTGACTGAAGACCAAACTGGTTGCAGGAGAATGCCAGAACAGTAAAGTTAAAGTTGCCAAACATTTCCATCAGTGCATTCAGTCGGTGGTACTGAGGGAATAGGACATAATCAAATGCCTTAAATAATAATTACAGCACAGGCTATGTGATAATATGATCTAACTGTCATCAGGTAATGCTCTTACAGATTATTACCTCTCCTTTTGTTGACCCTCAGAAGGTGGCAACATTGACGATGAGAAGCACCTTACCCCTGTAGTTACTGAGTGGGATCAGCTGTCCATCCAGGGTCTTAGCAGAGAAATCATAAACTAATTTATTTGACATGCTTGTACTTTAGTTTGTGTATGTGATTGCAGTCAGTCAAGAGTGAGTATTCACTCAGCCACCCTGTTGATTCATCTCATTCACTGAAACACAACTCATGGGTCAGCAATTGTTCCGCGTGACTGACCTCATTGTTCTTCTGGGCAGATGTGAGCTGGCAGGATAGTCATTTGTTCAACACATGTTTACCAGGAAGAATAGCTGTTAAAATGGTGGCAGCTAATTAGGATTTGTGAAATTAAATATTCAAAATAAACATAGCAGCAGACCACCATCATTTTCTTTTTACAGCAGACAACTTTGTTTTGTAACAGAACAACACTGAGGTCTGAACTAGTTGTTTTGATGTATAGTATTTATTTTACTGGTAGTATTATTTTGCCAATAAAGATGTTTTTAAAATCAACATTAAACTTACACATGCTGACTAAACCATGGCAGTGTGGAGGCTCTGTATAAAACATTTTAAAGAGATATTTTATGATCGCGACATGAAACGTGTAGCGTGTACATTCCCTTTAACATGATCATTTACGTAAACCAGGATCATTACAACTGCTGCGTTCATCTTTTACTCGTAAAGCTTTCCTATATTATTAGCCTACTTTTATTATTTTGTTATGAGACCATAAATTCAAATTCTCAAACATTTAAATAGTAGCCTATTTGGTGGCACATTTCCACATATTTCTCCTTAATTTGTTGGTCGTATTTATTGTTTTAGTCAATACAAGTGGTCTGCAACTGAACTATGCGCTCTATCAACAGAATGGATGGTAGGAAATAGCGTGCAGGATTCTTCCTACAGCACGTTAACGCAACATTGGGTTTGGGTTACACCTCAAGTGATTGCAAGATGCTAAAGGAAAATACATTATTTTGGCATATTTATGAAGAAAGACAAGTCCCTAAAAACTCAGTATAACACGGCCGACTCAGAATGAATGAAGGAGCTAAGATGCGAACGTAAGTGCCTTTTAAAATGTGTTTTTTTATTTATTTCAAAAGCAGTTGCCGGTGTAGGCTAGCTTCTCAGCTAACAGCGATAGCAACCATAACCAAGTCACTGGGAAATGTAGCTGGTTGTTGTTGTTCCCATTTATTTCTGGCAGCTCACTTTAGTTTATAAATATTTTACCGCGACAAGGCTGATTCTCTATTGCAAATGTAATATTGATGCCACTAATCTCGCTTTTTAAAGACGTTTGTTGACATTTAATCGTGTTTATGATTGCTTCTGTTAAACCGCTTTAGCGTTGCATTCAATATCAAAGTTCACCTGTAAAACAAGGTTTGAATCTCTCCAGCAGTTGTCATCTTCTGGATCTGCCCTGGGAGGATGTACTCGTCCCACATATTTTATGCCATTTGCCGCTGCAACACCTGGTCAGGCTGCAAAGAGTGAGCAAGCAGTTCCACAGCCTCATTCAGGTGTATATGGCCAACTGCAGGGTTTTTGATCTGTCCCTGGTAAGTCCTCATGAAGTATGATGCTGGAAAACATTTCAATGAAATGTTTAATTTACCTTTACAGAGTTTCTGTAGTGTCCACCAAATTAAATTTAAGATTTAAAAATTTTTAAACTATTTTCACTGGTCTGAGAATAGCCAGAAAAGCAGTAGGGGCAATCTGTATAAATTCTATTATTGACTTGTATGTCACATTTTGTCAGTACTTCTCAGCTGTATATAGCACCAATTCTTAGTAATGTATAAGTAATTCATTAATGTAACCTGGATCTCTGGCGTGCACATTCCACTATTGCACCGGTCAACAAATTCAAAGTAATTCAACAAATTCTAAGTAATGTTACTGTCTGTGACAGGCAAGACAAAATGTTTACATTTGTAAAAACAAAAGAAATTAAGGCTATGAAACCTCTTTTGAGGGAATTCAGTGGTTTTTAGGTTGGTTGAAGATATGCAGATGCTCTGCTATTTAAAGTGAGAGGTATGATGTTTGCAGTACAAGTTCTTGAAAAAATGTGCTGTCTGCTATGCTGTGATATTTACAGATTGGACCAAGCATTCCCAAGGAAGCATTTTGCTCCATGTTAAAGGACAACAAAGTTCTCCAGAGCCTATCACTTAAGAGCTGTTCAGACTGGCTGACAGACAAAGAGCTGCTGCCAGTTATTGGCCAGAACCAGCATCTGCAGAGAGTGGACATGAGCGGGTGTGTTTGGCTCACCCGTCACTCCCTGGTGGCCGTGTCTCTGAGCTGCATGCACCTCCAGCACCTTGGCCTGGCACACTGCGAGTGGGTGGACAGCCTTTCTTTACGCAGCCTGGCTGATCACTGCGGGGGGCTGCAGTCAGTCGACCTCACCGCCTGCCGCCAGCTCAAGGACGATGCCATCTGTTATCTAGCCAAGAAGTGTTTGAATTTGCAGTGTCTATCTCTGGCAGTCAATGCTAATGTCACCGATGAGTCGGTGGAGGAGGTGGCCAAGAACTGCAGGGGCCTGGAGCAGCTGGACCTGACAGGCTGCCTGCGGGTCAGGAACCAGTCCATCAGGTATATCTTATTTTCAAGTGTAATGCAACTAACTTTGTGCCATCCATGCCCACACGTTGACATGCACTACCTCGCTTATGCACTCATCCATATTGTCCTCTGCATGCTGTGCTGACAGGACGCTTGCGGAGTACTGCCCAAAGCTGCAGTCCCTGAAGGTGAATCACTGTCACAATGTGACAGAGTCGAGCCTGGATCCTCTACGGAAACGCAATGTAGTGATTGATGTTGAGCCGCCTTTACAGAGGGCACTGGTACTTCTTCAGGATGTGCTGGGGTTTGCTCCTTTTATCAATCTCCAAATATAGCCAAAGGGCAATCTGTCTGTCCAACAGGTGCACACAGGTGGGTAATATTAGCAATTTATCTACTGTATAAGCTTCTGACTTGTTTATATCCAAAACAGGGCCATAACTTAACATCTCTTGATTTATTACTAGTATACTTTGTTTAAGTGCAGTCAAGCAGTAATTAACCTTTTCTTTCTTGTGATACAGGTGTCCTAATAGGGCTTGCAGCTGTATCACACGTGCACGTGAGGTATTTTAAGAAATGTCAAGACAATCCAGGAAGACCTGAATTTGTTGTGCTGCTAAATGATGTTTTAAAAAACCTTCACTGGAATGTAATCAAAGATGCATATTTATAAAGGAACTGAAAATAATGCCACATTTGCAAATGACTGAACAAAGCCATGAATATTAGAGAATTTCTGCCTCATGTCCCAAAAACATCACTGCACTATTTCTTAATTACTTAGCTTTGTAATAACGTGGCTTTACAGAGGAGAATTTTTAGCCGATATATATAGAGTATTGTTATGTTTGGTTTTTGAACTGAGTACTCAGTGTATATGACACTGTAAAACACAGTTATCACATGTTTCATTTAGAAACATTTAAACATGTTTGAGTTTAATTAAACATTTAATTTTGCATGCAAGTGCCAACTTAAATAATCAGTTTACAGAAATCCCCACATTTCTCACCACTAGTTTGTCTAACCTTTGTTTTTATTTTATTTTATTTTTTACTTTTTTAGTTAGTTTGTTTTGTTCAGGTTTCAATATCTCCACTACTGAGTCTTATAAAGCTGAATGCAGATTTGTTTGTGGTGCTGACCACATGTCTTCAAGAAACAATGATGTCCTGGCTTCTCAGGACAAGTTACAGACCTCACTGTTAACAGTTTTTAACAATTTCCCAATGAAAATGGTACCAACACTGGTTGTTACACTAGAACTACAGTATCTGCATGGCTAGGTGTAACTAGGGTAATTTGGAAAGTATATTGGTGTGGGTAAAGTAGCCCTTTAATTTACATGGTTAATAAATATATACTTGTATAGGCTAGGATGTGGTTGAAATAGGCATAGGAATTTACTGTTTTTCTTTCATTCTTTGAAATTGTATAAAGTACCTGTGTTCATGTGTTCACATGCTGTTGGCCCTTAATATAGTATATGAATTATATAAGACATTAAATTGTAAAATACAGTGCCACCAGAATTGATTGTTATTTTTCCATAAGAAAGGCATAAAATACTATGATATAATTAGCAGTATGGACATTTGGGGTACTTTTCCTGCAGGTAGGTAGAACAAATTGCCACCAATCTGCTATGGGTACTGACTATGGACCTCCACAGCTAAAAATAAAAGTATTGGTCAGTTTTATTAGTAACAGGGTCTTAAGTAAGTTTAGAAGCAAAGACAAACCCAACTATTTTTGCCAGATTTAACAAATAAATAGTTAAAATTGTGACACAGGTCTGCGTTTTTCATGGCCAATAACATGCTTCTTGATAAATGAAAATGATGTTGGCCTGTATCTGTAAACTGCTCCGAATAAGCAAGATTGCTGTAATTCCATTAACTGTCAGGCATATGAAGCTTTTGTAAAAGCATTGCTCTGGTGTAGGTAGAGATGGACTTCACCTCCTCTCTGTGGCTCTCTGACTTAAACTGACACAAGGTGGCAGCAAAGAGTCAGGATATTGGTCTGTTTTAATTCTGTTTGAAAGGCTGCATGACTTCCAAACTACAGTACATTCAAGAAGCACAGTGATGTGTGTCAGAATCCACTGTCTGGAGTATATAAAAAGCGCAAGGCTCTCTTTTTTAAGATTTAGAGAAAGACTAATATTTGGTTAGACCTGTTATGAAAAGAAACAACTGCTACATGATCTTATTAACACCCGATGCAGTGAATGCACAGTAAGAATTAATGCGTACCCATGTTTCCATAGCTATGTGTCAATAATCCCTCCGACAGTTTCCTCTGGCGGTCCGATTGGCAAAACTACATCGTAACTTGTCTCAGTGACAACACAACAGGTCTATTTTCCACTTGATGGCATGGTTTAGCCCATCTGCTGTGTGCTGTCCAAAAGCTGAATTTGCACCAACTGAGAGCTGTGTTTGGGGGGCTTCAGGGATTGACCAGCAGCCTTCTGTTAGTTGTGCTGATCATCATATCGTACCGCTGTGCCTCCAATGAGACATCACTGTGTCATTAGTTATAAAGTAAATCTTGAAATTTCAATTTCTGAAGCAACTCAGGCTGATATCATGCAGTAGTTACTCACATTTAACCACATTAAGCAAGATTTTTCTGACATTTTAAGCAGGAATTAAAAAGTGAAAAGCCTGGTTATTTTCATGACTTGTCCTTCTCAAAATAACATGACGCAAAATAGAAAACTTTTGTCCCTGTATTGAAATGCAATTAAAAGGAATACTGAATCAAAAAATAACCTTTCAATCTCACCTGCGATCACATGAATAGGTACACAAACCATCAGTAGTGGCCCGTCCTTGTAGATGTTCAAGAGCCAGTGGGTTAAAAATGTTTCAAAATACATTCATCATAGAGGACCTCAATTAGCATTGATCTGGGGGTGGGGCTGGGGAAACACGACTGTGTTATTGTATACCATGCAGCAATTTCTGTTCCAGTGATTGAGTGTATGGGGGGATTTTTCAAACATAGCCGGCCTAACATATTTTGTCTTCCTGTCAATAATCTGGCACTTGTCTAAGTTATTGATCAGAAGTAACTGATCATTTTATACTAAGACAGTACAATGAATTGGTTCATTTTATTCAGAATGCAGTTTTAGCTCCCGGCAGCATGTAATATACTGTACCTATTAGTAAAACATTTTTAAGTTTAATTTCTGGCTGATAGATGGCAGCTATGTTTTGATAGCTGTGAACCAAAAATTACAACCCAACATAGTCATAGAGGATTCAAAACTCTTTTGATAGCTGTGTTAGCGCAAACTGTAGTGTAGAGTAGAGCTCTGTCTATAGAGTATTTTCTCACAGTTTATAGAGTCACAGAATCTGACAGGTCACAAAGTTTGGCACAACAAAGCTAATCTGACAGGTAATAAAATACAACATGCAATAAAGTGATAATGATAAAAAAATATTCTGATTGATCCTTCTTGTTGTTGTCCTTGTTTTTGAGGTGAATTAAAATGACATGGTTTCACAAGTTTCATCAGAATTGAGCAAAATGAAATATTTGCCATTTGCCCTTTCTTAATTTCTGTATTTCCCACATATATATATGTATACACACACACACACACACACAGTGGGTACGGAAAGTATTCAGACCCCCTTAAATTTTTCACTCTTTGT